GGACCTATTAATGACGCTCAGTGTACATGATTTTAAACTAGAAGAAACTCAAACTAGAAGAAAGAACTGAAAAAGGCTAGCAGAAGCCGCGGGAATGATTTCAGTTTGCTTGCAACATTGTATGCCTTCACCCGCGCCGGCGCAAAAGATACTTTCGGCAATATTTCAATAAATCGGGGACTACGAAATACACGCGAGAACAAAGGTTTAAATTCGTAACGATACGAAAAGGCGATAACAAATTCACTCGCGAAATTTTCCGACCATTGGAAAGAGTCAGAACACACACGATATAAATATGACGATCAGCGCACAGATATAAAATACACTTAAATAAATCAACACAGGTAATACAAATAAGGTAAATTAGTTAGAAGAAACGGCAAGCTCTCGAAAAATTATCACAAGAATAGTATTGTTACGTATATCGACCTTCATTCCTAAACAGAAGAATAAGGTAGCTGACGGGAAGCATAATTGCAGACTCAGCACGTTACCCAGTGCATTGCCCGTGCCATCTACCCAGCTGGTTAGCCGAGTGCATTCCTAACGTCCTAACCGTACCTAGAGCATCAGCAAAAATCGACTATATAAGCAGCCAAAATCATGGCACAGACGCTCAGAAAATCATTCAATTTCACGCGTAAAAGATCGGACTGCACGTTGTCACTCGTGGCTCTAACCGTTAGAGTATTAGATTCAGTGTAGTATTCGCAATCTGGCCTAGGTACGGATTCGTTATTACATACCCTAGGGAACAAGCTGGATCGGTTACCGGGCAAAATAGAGCTGCATAGACTACTCTTTCCAAATATCGCATAGTTTTGATAGATTTCTGTTCCACCAAATTTCATCTTGCCTTAACCTCACACACACAGTTAGGTTTTGTTATCCGATATTTCTCATAATAGAAACACTGTACACGACAATTAATAGAAAACTTTTAAATTGGTTGTAACAATATATGGTAAACTCACATTTTACTCGCGTTTTTAAATATCTCTTACCCATCCTCAACATTTCAGAGAATATCTGCCCACGTTGGAATAGCAAGGCGTGTTTCAACACCTTAAACGAGCAGCGAACCCACCATTGAGTGTATTCTTACCGCTCGGAATTCACTCAAACATTATTCACGTTACCTCCGGTCGTTTCTTTTTTTTTGGTTACTTCTAAATTTTTGTTATCAAATTTAAAGGCCTCGCTAGCCACTACGGCCTACGTAACAGTAATATAATACAATATTTGTAGATTAATATAATCATATATTTAATGAATCTTAAGTTAACTAGGCGAACCAATAAGCATAGTTGATAATTAAAAAAAAAATAAAAGGGTTAAGACGTGAGTTCCGAACTCGAGACTCTCGGACGTTAATCCAGCATCAAGCACGTGTGCTATCGAGTCATTGTGGTATATTATTTAGCAAACTTATATTTGTGTAGTTACCCACGTTCGAGAGTTTTTTTTAAGTTTTATTTGCTTACTCTATTATTTGCAGAGCTTCATATGATTATTAAGAGTATTGACTACCTTATTACTACGGTTTATGTAATATCCTGTAAAAAAAAAGTTGGATACAAGTCTCCCTATTTGAGTGTTCACCCGGTTTAAAATCGTGGATCTCGAGGAACACACGAATTCATTCGACCAATCAAAAACGTGGAACTAGTTCGAGAGTCTCGTTCAGGTGGCGCGTCGACGCGCCAAAACACAGCTCCAGATTATCACGCGTAGTATTACTATATATACACGACCAATCAAAAACGTGGAACTGCTTCGAGGGCCCTCCGCTAAGGTGGCGCGCCGAAACAGAGAAAAATTGAGACCACCAAAAACAGGCTCATTAGCAATCTCCCTACTCATCTCTGAATGTACTATACTAGAGAGGATACGTATAAGATTTAAAAAGAATAACCAAAGATTAACGATCAAATGACCAATGAAATGTATTTGCTCTCTCAGCGGGTTTTGCTGAACATACCCAATCACGTTGATTTGTTTTTATAAGCTTTGCACCATTCGTTAACTCTACCCTACCTTTATATGTGTTGGATAGAAGATATGTGACCGGTTATAAAATTCAAATATTGAAAATGAGTATCAACCGCAATTGACGGTCATCAGCGGAGTATCATTATTTCATTGTGATCTGTAAATACAATAGCGAGTATTAGTCAGTACCTAAGCGTGCAATTATGGCAGATGCCATTCTAGAAGAAGAAGAAGCAGATAATGTGCAAGTATAAGAAGGCGTAAAAGTACCATGTATCCTTCGAGGTGAATATTTTTGTATATTAGAAAAAACGGACACCAAAATTAAGGCAAAATGCAAAATTTGTATGGATGGAAAAGGTTCTTTGTCTGGCGATATCCGGTCAACCGGAAATTTTATCAAACATTTAAAGGTAAGTCTATACTCAAAATGTATTATTATAAAAATATAAACATTGTAATTGTGTCTGCTATTACATACCAGGCAGCTACAATTTCTTAAGATCTTGAAGAACGTGGAATCATTTTAGGGTTCATAAGTTAATGTTGTAATAAACTTTGATGTTATCTGTATTCTTGTGCGGAGCCATTTAAGAGCATTGTAAATATGATTTATGCATTATTGTTAAGTGGGTTATGCTTAATTTTTCATACATATATTGCAGCAAATGCATGAGTGGCACTACAAAAAATATTTGAATCATAAGAATGATCTAAAGATACAAATGAAAAAGTCAAAACACAAAGATCACTCCCAATCCAGTGTAAAGGCATGGGTAAAAGGTTTCCATTCTGTAGTATCAAAAATAAAGGTATGTATAATTTGCTTATTAAATGTTCCTGTAGAAAAAATTCAATGTAATCTCAATGTTATAAAACCTTGTACGACAGCATAAAGCTTGCAAATGTATTCCTTATAATTATCTAAACAAATTTGAAACTGCAACATTAGGATTTTTAACTGGATCAGAGTGGTGGAGGTCGATTCGACCCAGGCCAACCACACGATAAAGTGGTAAAAAAGAGCCCTACAGTGATTGAGTTAAGAAAGTATTTAATTTAATTGAGCATATTAAACATGTGTAATATACATTATAATTAGCAAGTGTTTAGTGAATGAATCATCTGTCATCAGACCGACTAGTTAAACTAAATTAGAGTACTCTATTTCATGAATCATTGGTGGATATTTTTCAGTTGTTATATAAACCTTACTTCATAGGACAATCTTAATAATAGGTTGATATCTCGCTACAATATTATCTTAAAAATCATGTTTCTTACAGCTATTGCAGTTGGTGGCATCTTACATTATAGAAGAAATGAGACCTGTGGTTACTGTAGAAAAGCCAGCATTTAGGACCCTTATTAAACAGCTTTCGGGATTGACACCTCCAAGTAGACAGGCTGTAACTAATTACTGCATTGAGTTAGAGGAATCAAAAAAGACTGCTCTGAAAGTAGAGTTGCAAGCAGCAAAATACTGCTGTACCACTGCTGATATTTGGAGTCATCACAGTCGAAGCTTCATAGGAGGAGTTAGAGGAATCAAAAAAGACTGCTCTGAAAGTAGAGTTGCAAGCAGCAAAATACTGCTGTACCACTGCTGATATTTGGAGTCATCACAGTCGAAGCTTCATGGGAGTAACAGGCCATATCATAGATAAGGATAATTTTCAACGAAAATCGTATTTACTTGCATGTCGTAGAATGAAATTCTCTCATAACTTCTTAGATATAGCTAAAACTCTGTTGGATATTCATGAGGAATATGATCTTCAAGCTTCAAAACTTGTTGCGACAGTGACTGATAACGCTTCTAATTTTGGAAAAGTTTTTTCTGTAGAAAATAGGATTGCCTAGGTATCTGCCTCTGTTTGTTGTCTATCCCTATCTCTCTCTCTCTCTGACCTGTGCGTGAGGTACAGAGGATCTGGCGGCGTTGGTTCGATAACCCTAGTGGCGCTTTGCCTACCTAGTGGCTATGGCACTGTGTGCGACGCAACTTCTAACGGCGCGGATGACAGATTACACAATGGCCATAACGAAAGTCTCTGCGGAAGATCACGGTGGTCTCCGCAGAGCTTTGACAATCTTTCTACGCGAGGTCTACTTGGAATAGCAAGTAGCCTCTTGACACGATTATGATCGATGAGTTTTATGACAACTTGCAACTATCCTTTCTATCGCTGTGGATTCTCGATTAACTGACGGGTTTCGATTTATGTTACGTATGCCGTGCTTTCGCGACACTTATCGAAAACTTTACACTTGGTCTGTTCGGAATGCTTGAGTTGGTCTGAACTGTTGTGTTTAATGACTTGTAATCCGATATTTGTTAGTGGGAAGCGCTAATCATCTATCGGATTATTTTGATATTATTTTTCCGCTGTTTGACTTTCGGGGGACGTTCTCCATCTATCGGCGCGTGTTGATACTAGCCGCGTGTCCTTGTCGTCCCTTTGTAACGGGTGCGCTCTCAGTACAGGAGTACTGAGAGGCTGATCGTTTTGTCACGTTACAATATACATTGCATAGAACCTAATATTCATTCTTCTGATGAAATACAAAATCTACAATTCAATTAAACTTTATTTCTACATTTTGCAAACTGCTATATTGATTCTTTGTGGCGATAGTGGCAGAATCCTTTCTACATTAGGATGTATTTGGTGGTATTTTTTTGTCATGGTTCGATTCTACAAACCAATCGTAACATCGAAAAAAAAGCAGAGAATTTAATTCTAATTGGCTTATGGCTAATTTCTTCACCTTGGGATAATATTTATC